TTAAGGTATTCAGTGACCATAAGAGCCTTAAGTACTTAATTGACTAGAAGGAGTTGAATATGCGACAGCGAAGGCGGATGGAATTTTTAAAAGGTTGCAACTTTAAGTTGAAGTACCATCCAAGAAAGGCCAATGTAGCGACCGATACTTTAAGTCACAAGACCATCCACATTACATGGTTGATGATCCATGGGTATAAGTTACTAGAGGATTTCTCTAGTGAACGCTAGAATAGTCTAGATTTTGCTATATATAACTTGAATAAGATGGTAATGACTAATAAATTTAGAAAGACCTGAGAAAAGCTTAGCTTAAAGACAAGTATCTGTTAGGGATTAAAGATGATATTGAGGCAAACAAGACTAAGGACTTTTAGTTTAATGATCATGGGTTGGTAGTATATAGAGATCGGGTATGAGTACCTGATGATAAAGGGGTTCGAGAGACCATTCTAGCCGAAGCTCATCGGAGTAAGTTCACCATTCATACAAGAACTAGCAAGATGTATCAAGACATGAAGACTCGATGGTGGTGGCCTAGCCTAGTATGAAAAGGGATGTGACAGAGTATGTATTCCAATGTCTAACTTGCCAGAAGGTAAAGATTAAACACTAGAGACCCCCAGGATTGCTACAACTGTTAGAGATTTCTATGTGGAAATGGGATTGTGTTTCTATAGATTTCATTATGGCATTTCCGCGTACCCAAGCGAATCATGATGCTATTTAGATAATTGTGGATAGATTGACTAAGTCTACTCATTTCTTAGCTATTCGAGATGATTGTACTCTAGATAAGCTTGTAAAGGTCTATATTTAAGAGATTGTGATATTACATGGGGTGCCGAAGAAGATCATATTAGATCACGATCTGTGGTTCATATTAAACTTTTAGAAAGAAATGCATGAGGCCATAGGTATGAAATTAAAGTTCAGTACAGTTTATCACCCTCGGACAGATAGTTAAATTGAGAAGACCATCTAGACTCTAAAAGATATGCTATGTACTTGTGCTGTCAAGTGGACTGGTAGTTAGGATAAGCACCTACCTTGGGCAAAATTCTCTTATAACAATAGTTTCTATGCGAGCATTCAAATGGTTCCATATAAATCCTTATACAACAAGAAGTGTCGATTGCCACTTTGTTAAACCAAGTTAAGTGAAAGAAGGGGTCCTAATTTGGTGGATTAAACCACTGAGAGAATTGAGACTATTCATTAGAAGTTGTTGACTACTTAGAGTCGACAGATGAGCTATGCAGATAAGAGGAGGAGACCATTAGAGTTTATGGTAGGAGACTATGAATTTCTAAAGGTCACACCTATGACTGGAATTGAGAGGTCTATTCGTGCAAAGAAATTAACTCCCACGTTTATTAGGCCATCTAAAATTCTTGAGAGAACTGGGTCAATGACGCCTCATTATATGTATTAGGGGAAACCATAGTCCATATTGTGCGTTAGAACATCTTTGGCCTGGTAATTCTACCACTGCAGGTGAGCTTAAGACTAATGAAAGTGTACATTAGTCTAAGATGAGCATATGGTTTCGTGTCGGGGTGATTTGGTGGTTCGATTGGTAGAGATCATGCTAATATGTTAAGTAATATAAATGTTATTTTATAAGATTTTGATGATATACTATGTTTACTTACATATTTTTTCATGTGATAGTTAATAGGAGTAAGTTATTTTATTACTAAGATTTTTATCTCAAACCCATAGTTACATGTATACAGGATCGGGAAGTGATCAGGGCAAGAAAAGAGAGTCTGGACTAACTTGAGTCATGAAGCTATGCACTTTGAGTTTGTGTAATAAACTCTGAAAGATTGTATATATAAGTGTATGTAAGTTTTCATAGGGTTGCATGCATGTGTTGATTTGAGTTTTTGTGAAGTTAAGCCCGATTATGAGTATGTTTGTGTTGATATGGTTAGTTATATTGGTGAATCTTAAGCCAAGGGACAAATTATGATGAAATGAGTAATTTAGGGGCTAAGATTGTAATGTGAGTATGATTTTATATGTATGGGTTGAGAAATAGCCATGTGGCTAAGTTATACCAAGAAATGGCAAAGTATGTGAAGTTAGAGAATTGTGAAAATTGGCCGTAGAAGGGTTAAATTTCAATATATGAATATGATTATGATTAATTGTTCTCAATCAGGTGTACTAGATCCTTTTGGACTTAGTTCAAGGCCTAGTATGGTCTAATGAGAGAAAGGGATTGATTTGAGTGCTTGGGTGTGCAAAATTTTCAGAAAAAGTAACTTTTTGCTCCCAAGTGTCTAATTTTTTATCAGACTATTAGATCGTGTCTAAACCTATCTCATTAGTTAGTATATGAGCTAAGATTTGTCTGGGCACTTGAATCACTCTAATCAAATGCCGTATGTGAAAATGGTGCACATCGAAAATTCATCATTTTTGCTGTCAAAATGATAGCAAAAATTTGGACAGGTGCGTCGCAGTGCATGGTGACACATACCACAAGTCACAACACAGAAATGGCGAGATTGTGGCTTTATGCCGCAGCACATAGACTGCATGCCACGGCGTATGACCCAAATTTCAGTTTTTATTTTGTGTTGAAATGCATGCAATTGGGATAGAAATGCTAGTGGGTTATGTCCACTATGTATTTGAGGAGTGTATGATTTACTTCTACTATATATTTCTCTGATTTTATTACGAATTGATCAATTTTACAAAATAAGTCTTCGGCTGAAGCTTTTGAAATGTAATTTGTTTATCGTAATTGATGTAATTCAGTAGTAGCATCGTAATCTTCTCTTATATTGAGTAATTATAAGAGGAGGTTACAAACATCAACGGGTAACCCTTTTCTTGTGACAGAAGGGTTGAGGCAGCCGAATAACTTTCTTTATGTGATTATCTATTATAACTATTTGTAAGTATTATAGCTATTGCATGAAATTTCTTTACAATGTGCATGTTTTGAGAAAACATTTGATTATTACATGTAAAGGTTTTCAAAGAAGGAAGTTTATGGAAATATATGATTAGATAATTATATATGTAGATTTGAATACAAACTACTAGTTGTATGTGATCATGATCATAGGGGGTGGGAGTTCACCCATAGAGAGAAATAGTAAGAAGTTTATATGGCATCATTCTCCTTAGTGTTCGACAGGGTGCAATATTAGGGAATTTTATCTCCTTAGTACCTATTGAGGTGCAATCTTTGACATTATCTCGTTAGTACCCATGTGGGGTGTAGTGTTAGAGATCAAAGCTCCTTCGCATCTGTGAGATACGGTGTTGTAGTAATGACACCTCGATCATTATGCGTTATAAAGGCAAAATCATAGTCCAAAAGTAGGACAGAACACCTTTAGCCGGCTTATTCTACTATCAAAGGTGTGTTTAGGTCAGTGAGTGTGTATTAGCCTAATAAGAGCCTATAGTTTTAGTAAGGGTGATACAGAGGTTCGGATGGTAGTGATTATGATAGTGGTGATTGTTTTAAGTGAAAATGATTTTATGAAGTAAAAGTATGTTATTTTGTTTTACTTGTTATCTATAAGCAATAATTGTTTACAATAACCTATGATAGTTGATAGTAGCGAGTTATTTTGTCATTGAAATTATTATCTCACCCTGTGGTTACATTTTTATAGGTGCTAATAGTGAGTAGGGGAAATCGAAAGATTCAAGGCTGACGTAGTAATGCTATAGCTGTGAAGATCAAGAGCTTGTGCAATGAATTTCATTTAGTTGTATGTTATAGATGATTAAATTGCCATAGGATTCATATACATGTGTTTAGTTGTTAAAAGTGATGATTTTGTGATTCTTAGCCCTGTATTAGTGAATGTGTGTTATATGTGGTGAAAAATGTGAGAATGGGCAAAGATTTAATTGTGAATAGGTAAGTAGTAATTATGTGGTATGTGAACACTATATTTTGTTCGAGCATTTTTTTAATTTAATAAAAATAATAATAAATAACCAAAAAGATATATAAAAATACGAAAATAAAATTTAATCCTTTTTAGGATTATACTTTTTTAAAAAAATAATTAATAGGGTTTAATTTTATTTTATCATAGATAATCTTTTGTTGATTAAGATTTTATTTCTTTTAGTTCAAAAAAACAAAAAATAAATATAAAAATAAAAAATGAAATTTAATCCTTTTTTAGGATTATATTATCAAAAAAATAAAATAAATCTTGCTTAAATTTTTAAAATCTCTCCCAAATTATCTCAATCATTTAAAAATATTGGAAGTCAACTTTTAAGAGTTAACTTTCTCTCCTTAAATCTTATTTTTCATTAAATGTGTGTGTGTGTGTGTGTGTGTTAATTTAATTTAAAAAAATTAAAACCAAAAAAAGGTTGGATGAAATGCTGATGGATTAGCGTTTCATCACAAGCCTTATGTGGTTTACATGCAGCTAATATGGGGAAAAAACATAAAAAGTAAATGAGCATAGACGTAAGATTAGCCAGAAGTAAAGAGCAGAAAGAGAAGATATGAAGGCAGAGCCAAAGCTTCGGCCATGTAGCAGAAAAAGAGAGAAAACACAGAAGAACCAGACACGCTAGCTGATACACACAGAGAAAAAATGCACAGAAAAAGAACAGAAACACAAGTTGCAAGCACATAAGCTCTTCACACACAAGCTCTTCCTTATTTCTGCTTTAAAAGGGGCAAGAGGCATATAGGACAGAGACCGAGAGAAGAAAAAAACTAAAAAAGAAGAGTAGAAAACCGAGAAGGAGAGATCGAGGACATATCCGAGATAGAGAGAAAAATAGAGCACCGAGGAAGGAGAGAGCACTAATTCGAAACTGAAAAAAAGAGAGAGCTAAGGGCGAGAGAGAGAGAGAGAGATGGTGAAAAGACCAACGAAGGAGGCGCAAAAGGAAGAGAAGAGAGAGATCAAAAGAAGAAAAAACTAGAAAAAGAAGAGTAGAATACTGAGAGTGAGAGATGAGAAGAAAACCACGGAAGGAGAGAAGAGAATTATGGACAAAAAGGAGGCTCCTTTGAAGTGGGAGCAAAAGCTGGAAGCTACTGCTAAGGCCAAAGCTGATGCTAAAGCCAAAGAGAGGATGTTAAAGGCTGTAAAACATAAAAAATGATCTGGCTCTGACTCGGATTATGACAGTGACAATGAGTATAAGAAGTCCAGTAGAAGAGCTCACAGGAAGCATAGGAAGCATTCTCACTCTGACTTGGGTGACCATGATAGAAGGAAAGAGAAGAAATCCAAGAAAAAGGCAAAGAAATGGTCCTCAGAATCTAGTGATGCTAGCAGTGATGAATATGATAGTATCTCTGAGGAAGAGAGGAGAAGGAAGAAGAATGCATATCTGAAATCACTGGCTACTTAGGTAATATTTAAATCATGTCATCTCCCTTAATTTGGATTCACTAATGAACATATATATATATATATATTGATAGATATTTAGAGTGTAGACTAATCCAGATGTATGTTTAGGCATTAAAAAAATTTAGGAATTAATTTTTTTATGTAGAATTTAGAACATACCTGAGAGGTGTCTGACAAAAAAAACAGAGAAAGAGCCTGTGAAAATATTATTGATAATTTGTGAGATTGATTATGGTTTGGAGCCGTGTCTATCATGGTTATGATCTTGCTAAAAGTTTATGCCAAAACTGATGTTTTTTAGAATATATCATCAAGTCGAAAGAATAGTGAATTATCAAATTAATTTATTCTTTCCATTACCTTTATTGCATAAATTGTTTAGCCAACTATAATATTATACACCGATTGTAAATGAAAATATTTTGATTATTTATTTATCGTGTGAGATTCTAAGAATCTCCGTAGGCATTTAGAATGATTTCATACCGTATAAATCAATAAGATTCTGTAGGTATGAGGATCATCTTGTAGGTATTTATATGGGTTCCAAAGGCTCATTATTAAAATTAATTTTTTTATAATAAATATTTAAGTCTCACGTGAAATTTCAAGAATTTTCATGGAAAATTAAATTAATTGCCTTATCGTGTAGGATAATAAATTCTCATAGATATTGTGATTCACAATTTGTATGGTAAATAAATAAATGAATTTTTGTAAATAAAATAATAAATATTTTTATAATATTAATTAATTAAGTTAATAAATTTAAATTATAATCACACTTTCTAATTAGATCTTTTGGTCATATAAGATTTTTGAAACTCTATAGATCTTTCGAATAATCATACTACCACGTAAGTCAACGAGACTTCGCAGATATAACGATTAAGATTTCTATATTAAAAAATATGCATTATATAATTACGCATTAAAATATATTCAAAGTAAATATTATTTAATCCTTTTCTCATGTGAGACTTTAAATCTTTATAGATATTCAGGATAATCTCATATCATATAAATTAATAAGGTTTCATAGATATGAGAGAGCAAAACTTATATGTTAATGTGGCTTCTAAAGGCCCATCATAAAAATTAACTCTTTTTTTTATAATCCAAATTAATAATTTATTTAAGTCTCCTGTGAGATTTCAAGAATCTTCGTAGAGACTTAAATTAATCACATTATCGTGTAGGATAATAAGTCCTCGCAGATGTAGTGATTTTCAATTTTTACAATAAATAAATAATTTTTGTAAATAATCCTATAATACACAATTTAGAAAATTAATTAACCAAATTAATATATTTAAATTGTAATCACATTTACTGACTATATTTTTTAGTCACGTGAGGTTTTTGAATCTCTATAAACTTCTAAGATCATCATATTATCATATAAGTCAATAAGACTCTGCAGATATAACGATTAAGTTTTTTTAAAAAAATATATATAAATTATATATTAAATTAATTAAATTAAAAATGTATTTAAATAAATATTATTCTTTTATCATGTGAGATTTTGGAATCTCCGCAGATATTTAGGATACTTATATTACCATATAAGTCAATAAAGCTTTGCAGGTATGATGATTAAAATTTTTTAAAAACATACACACATACTTAAAAAAAGTATTACTAACACTTAAAAATATAAATAAATTAAATTGTTAAACTCTTTTATCGAGTGAGATTTTGAAATCTCCATATATATTTAGAACGATTGTATTATCGTATGAGTCAATAAGGCACTGCAGGTATAGCAGTTAAATTCCCAATCATAAAACATAAAAGAAAAATAATTTTAAACTCTTTTCTTTCTTTATTCCAAAAATTCAAAAATTGAGAAAATAATTGAAATTAAATTACTTTTTGCAACTTAAAACACACATATCAAAATTTTAGAAATTATTTCATTTGCAAAATAGTGAATTATTTCTAATTAATTTCTCTTCAAAAAAATATTTTCACCAACAATTTTCAAGCCCGAACTACGTGGAATGTGATCCCCATTGTAGGGTACGTAAGCCTTAAAGTCCAATTCTGAGTCAAATCTTCCCTCATAAATAAATAAATATTTCTCACTTAATTCTTATCATTGTTATATGAAACACATGAATATAAAAGGGATAATTAAAATAATTTTAAAATTATATTAATATAGTACAACAAATTTCAGGTAACCGTTCTCACAAACGGGTGTTGTAGGGTGCCTAACACCTTCCCCACACTCAATCGACTCCCGAACCTATTCTCTGATTTCGCAAACCATTCTTATCCTCCTTTTAACGATTTTTCAAGATTTTTCTTAAAATTTTGGTGGCGACTCCTCGTTCATCTAGTTCCTACTATGAAGGCCGGAACCTTTGCTCGCGCACCGTCCGCATCGCATTTTTTTGGGTGTGACATGGTAGATTGGTGAATCCTAACCCAATTATAGTGAAAAGTTATTTGGGTTTAGGATTGTGTTATGTGAAGTCGTGTATGAATGTAGGTATGTTTGTAATGATGATTTCATGATGAAATGGTGAATTGAATGGCCAAAAATGTGTTATTGTGTATAGTTCCCAAAATAGGCCTATATTGTGTTATATGACTTGTTTAGGGGCTAAGTCTTGATATATGTGTTTGTATGATGATATTGTTGGTCATTTAGATATGAATAGTTCTTTTTTACTTGGGTCTTGGCCTGAAATGGCCTAATGAGGCAAAGACTGAGATTTGAATGCTTTGATGCTTAAAATTTTTAAGTAACTTTTTGCATTTGGGTGTCTAAATTTAGATCAGACCATTGAATCTATCTAAACCTATCTCATTAGTTAGCTTATGAAATAAGTTTTGTGTGGGGCCTTGAATCACTCCTATCAAACGTCGCATGTGAAAATGATACATGCTAGAGGTTCACCTCAGTGAATTGTCATATGATAGTAAATTTCTATCATGTGCACCATAGTGCTTGTGATACACGCCGGGGTGTATGGCCCCTCCTTTAGCCTTATTTCTTTTAGTTTTAGATCATGTGTTGGGAGTAAGATGAATAAAAGAACTGTTTTTCACTATGCATTATCTGATGTGTGGTTGATTTCAAATGATTTTAGAGAAGACTTGGGTTCCTAAGTATTTTAAATAATTTTGTTTAACCTCAGTATTGTATATGTATATGGTGATTATGTTAACCCCTCTATATACTAGTTTAGTGGTTGGATGACAGTTTGGTATTGGGAGAGGTTATAGTTTGGTATCTGTTTCTCAAGTTTCGAGATCTAGTTTTTATCTTTATCTTCAACATTCATCCTTAGAAATGGTAACTTATCATTATTCATTACACAACTCTTTCCCTTTTGCTCACTTTCTTTTCTTCTTTTCATCCTTGGGAGGGGAGAAAGAGGAATATATTGAAGAGAGGTGCTTGCTTTAGAGGTTCTCTCTCTAGACATGTAAATGAGTAAGTACTAATAAACGATAACCAAGAGTCGAAAGTTTTGTTAGTTGAGTCACCGCCTAAGGACAGGCAAGATAAGTTGCTATAAGAATTGAGAAACATGATGATAAACATAAGGCAGGCTATCTAGGACCATAATACAATACTAAGAGGTAGACAACAAGGAGAAAGGGTTGAGAACCAAGATAGACTATTGTAAAAGGAAGCACATAGTAGACTTGGACCGTCTCATAGTTTAGGTAGCAGACTAGAGGTTGGTATTAATACTAATCCATCAATAGATCAGCCATGAAAGACTTTAATCTAGTTTAGACTGCCTACTTTTGATGGAAATATGAAAGAAGGGGATGTGAAGTAATAGATTGAACGACTCAAGACCATTTTCAAGGAGGTAGTTTGCACATCAAAGCAAAAGGTCACCTGGTGATGGTGCACTTAGTGGGAGCTACAAAGTGATAGTGGGAGTCTGTGAGGCCTACTATTGCGGTTCATTTGTCTTGGGAAGAATTTAAGAAGACCTTCTTTGATAAATATTTTCTAGTCTCTTTTAGAACAGAGAAAGAAGAAGAATTTCATGCATTCAGGCAAGGAGATCTAGGCGACGAGGAATTTGTTTGGAGATTCAATGATTTATCTGCCTATTCCACCTATCTCCAGCACAATAATGATACAAAGAGGAAGGCTCAAAGATTGTTGGAGAAGATAGAGCCTAAATATAGGCAACAGATCCTTTGCTTGATGTAGAGATGTATGAGGAAATGTGTCACAAGTTGAGAGTAGCTACCAGGAGAGGTAGAAGGGTAGAGGCAAAGAGGAAAAGGGATAGTCTAGGGAGGTTCTCATCCCCACTGGGTCTAACAAGCAGAGTTTTGAAGAAGCCTAGATACAGTTCTAGCAATTCCAAATCAATAGGTAGAAAAGGTTTTACTATAGGATAATCAATTTTAATCGATTCAGAGGGGATTAGTTCAAAAGAGCAGTGATGTGAGAATTAGGCCTCTGTAATGTTTAAGACAAGCATCAAATGTTCTAGCATCAATATTAGGTACAGGAAGATTTCCCTACTGCAATATTTATAGCTGATGTCATGTAAGGAGTGTTGGGCATGTTTTAAATGTGGCAAATCAAGACATTTAGCAAGATAATGCCTAAAGGGTAAAGCTGATACAGCAGAGTATCATTCTACCATTCTTAGTCAAGTATTTACAATGACACAGGAAGAGGCCATAGCCTTTTCAAATCTGATCTGATATGTGATTTCTATTTGTGGTTGCCAAGTTGAGGCATTATTTGATTCTGGTGAAACACATTCCTTTGTATCCAAGGAATGTGTAGATAGACTAAAATTATCTTTGCAAGAATTTTCAGTGCTTATTAAAGTAACTACACCTTTGGGATCTTGTATCACAAGTAGATTTTGTCAAAGGGTAGAAATTTAATTTGAAGGCAAGATTTCTAAAGTTGACTTGATCTGTATTCCTATAAAAGGAACAGATGTGATTATTGGCATGGATTGGCTAGCAGCGAATAATGCTATGGTAGATTGTGCC